GGCTGTGATGCGCGCATCAAGAACCATGACTGCTGTACCCGTCTCGGGCCCGGTAGCACGCCGTCTGTGGCGTCTGCGTGAGATAGAGTACTCCATCCCGTGTATATTAAATCCCTTGAATGTCTCTTGCGCTCAATGAAATGGCACGCGTTTTTTTGTTCTCGGTGGCTTGACTGGAAGTTCGCCAACGAGTACGACGGCCCAGGTAAGGAAGCAGCGGTGAAAGGTGAGCCTGCTGAGCGCCTATGCCCGAGTACCAACCCTAAATCTCACCAGATCCAGATCGTATTCGCGTAATGAGGCGCCTAACGTCTATTCAATGGGCAGTTTGTGCACAGGCATCGGTCGATGCCGTGCTTACAGACGCCAACTCATTTCATATCCAGCGCGCCAAACTGTCAAGATTATGTTCGCGCGCACTCCTCGCACTTTCGTCGTCCTCGGCCCTGAAAGACCAAATGGAAGATATCAGTAGTCCGTACGAGGTCCTAGGGCATGAGGCTCCGCGGCTGTACAGCGAGAGCAAACTGTATCAGGTCATGGTTCCGAACAGATGCCTCTTTCCTTTTTGCTAGGACGTGTGATCGCCGCATTACTCTGTGGCGCGTGAATCGAACACGGCTAATGTTGGGATTGTTGGGCAGCCTCTGAGTGACCGGTAAGTTTGGCTCTGACACCGCGACTCTTTGTCGTACGCCGTGTCCTGCCACTTGCCCGTCCTGTCCCTACCTCGTTCTTTCGTTCTCATTCGTATCTGGACGCAAGGCATCTCGCTATCGCACCCGTGGCTCACTCGCACCATCATCGTTACTATCTTCAACCTGCGACGCGAGCCATCACTCACACGGCATGTCTGAACCCAACACCATCCCACTCGTCACATACCCGAACCCGGACGCGTTCGGTGCGTATTTCCTTACCCATTCCGTAACTCACACCGTACTGATATACGTTTAAGGCCTCAAAGGTCGCTTCGATCGACTCGGCACGGCGCTGAGCCGACCCGCACCTCCGCACAACGCGCAGATGGCAGGACAAGGCGTCCACGCCCACGCGAACAACGGAGAACGAACGAACCGTTCCGTCCTCAAGAAAATCTGGGGTCCCATTAAGGGATGCCTTTGCTGCTGGAATGGTGGGGCGTAGAGCGGGGGAAGTGGAGGGGTCTCGTACGCGAACACGCTCTTTCGTACGTCGCGTGAACCGAGTCTTTCGCTCCATGATACTCATTCACCTATAGAGCCACGATCTTGTCTGCTGCTATCATATCTTGTTTTCACTCATCTTGCTGTCACCTATTCTCGTCTCTCACACCCACATCTTGCTGTATCATAGTGCTACGACGTCGTACCTCCACCGCATCATCTTCGCTCGATCTCTGCACCCTTCCCTCTCTCGCATACTACACGTCCTCGCCGCTTTGACTGAATCATCTTCCTGCATTACAATGATATACCTGCTATCTTTAATCAAGCTATCTACACGTGTCCGCTATCCTCTGTACATACGCACTTTGCGCCGCTTTGCACGAACTCGTTTGAGTCTCTATACGCTGGGTTGCACGCGAGCGCGCGGTCGACTCTTGCGCCGACATCTTCCTTCTTCCTCGTGGCCTCATACCTCGCAACCAGCGGCAGACTTACGTCTCTCCGTAGCCATGTCTAGTGTCTAGGCGAGTATCACGTTCACATTGTACCGCTGATTCTGGGTAGCAAGGGTTGGCCTACCACGTGGGAATCCGTGAGAAAGTCGCCCCGATGAAACGACACATCAAGATCATATAGTGCGTACGCTTTCAATGAGTATAGCGTGAATGTGAAGATTGCGGGCAAGTGAAGGTAGAATCATAGCGAGAGCGGCGGGGCCAGTTATGTATATGAGAGTACGAAAGGACTATCTGACGGATGACTACGGGAAGGCGATGTCAAAAATGATCGAGAGGTTGAGAAAGAAGATAAATACGCGTGAGAACCAGTGTTAGCATCTGAAGGGTGGGATAAGAGGTGGAAAAAACGTAAAGATTGGAACATAGATGGCTCGCTCGTACAACGGCACCGCCTAAGAGAACTCACAGCCGACCTGACCAACGCCTAAGTTGCGAGCCTCTCTTCGACGCAGGTTCCTTTGGGCCTTTTGCGAGCGAAAGTTTCATAGCTATTCCGACGCCTGCACTCTCGTCTGAGCGCTGCCCCGCCTTTCCCACTCTTTCTCTCGGGACGCAGCGTTACTGAGAAGCGGCCCGGCCTCGTCTCTAGCGCCGTCAGAGCTGCTCGAATCGGAATGTTGGGAGGAGACGCCATTTGAGTTGCAGAAACACACCTCGGACGCCGTCTCCCCTACCGGCGAGCCCTGATTCTCAGCCTCTGTGGCTGGTTCAGACATGAAGGATAGCTCAGGTGCAGGCAACAGCTCAGGTGCAGGTGAGAGCTCAGGTGCAGGCTCCGACGCTGGCTCATGGTCTGGCGTGCCTGCGTTTCCCGGTGGAAGCGCAGATGTCGATACGGGCGCGGATGAAGGAGCAGGGGCAGGGGTGGGCGAAAGTGGGAGTGGAGCACCAACATCGACGATGCTCTTAAGGTCGGCCAGTGCGCCTATTGCGAGTGCATCAAGACTGGCGCCGCCAAGAGCGGCCAATCCTGGACCTGTCCCCAGAGAGGCTTTCACGAGCTCCTGATTGAGAAGGTCACGTAGCGGCTTCATAGCGGCTGGTTTGTGAGTGGGGGTGGCCACATCAAGCGCTCTGCGCCATTCCCACATGTGTGGCGTGTTCTTCGGGAGGTAAGTCGGATCTGTCTCCTGCCAACCGTCGCGCCACCCGCAACGACTCGCACCATCCAAAAGAGTGAAAGCGTTGCGATACGCGAGTTCCACTCGAGGGTCACCTTGGGAGTCGAAAAGGGTGCTCAAGTCCTCGTGGTCGTTCGCGGATACGACTGGCATGCGAAGGGCTGCTATACTCTGTAAGAGCTTGAAAAGCCACTGCAGTCTGGACTGCGCGAAGTGACCAGGACTTTCGTCTGGATGAGGATACCCCGACATTTTTCCCATGGCTATGATGAGCGCCCAACGCAGACCCGAGACCGCCGCGAGCAAAGAGACGTCTCCCTGGTCGGTTGCCGATGCGCTGAGCTCGCCATATCGGACGAAGAAGGGCGGTAACAAGCTAATCAAAGCGTCCAGTCGCGCCCATCGCCTGTCCTCTCTCTCAGCAGCCTCCTTGTCGTTTCTAGGCCGTACCCCCTCTCCGTCTGCCAGTACAAGCATTTGCAAGAACCGGATCGACCCGACAGCATCGGTCGGAGACCCAACGCTGGAAAAGACGGCAGTGAGCCGGGAGACCATGCCGGCATCCTCCAGCAGATGACCGATGTACTGAGAGATTCCGGAGCTCTTCATACTGAAAAGCCTGCGGACCATATAGCGTAGAGTTTCCGGAGTCTCCAGCAGATGAAGCTTCGTGAACGACGTCAGGTACAGTAGCTGGTTAACGGAGATATGTTGTTCATGACTAGGCCTCAGGGCTCGATCCATCATGTTCGCGCGCACTTCGTTGGGATCCCCTTTGATGAAGGAGTACAGCAGTGCGGGAATGATTGGCGCAAGGAGACCGAACTCTTTCAGCAACCCCCAAAGCCATCCGGGGTTTACGTCGGGAAGGAAGACGTGTTTGTCATCTATCCAAGTTCCCACCGCCCTGCACAGCATGATGATGTACACGACCACGAGTGAGATGAACGTCGCCGTCCCATAGAGAGCCAGCGACAACAAGTAGGACAGGGGCGTGCGGTAGGGGCAAGTCTTGTCCACCAGCGGGAACAGGCTGGCGGCGACGTAGGCGAATGCGGAGGCGCCAGCCGCACCCGCAAGATACCGCGCCGTAGTAGTGTTGACCTGATAGAGCCATAGAACGAGCCCGACAATGAAGAGAATCACAGCGGCGTGCATGATGCCGACGACGAGCGTTGCGAGGCGATCTAACCCGTAGGTATGGATGCCCATGAATTCGGCGAGTTGCCTGAGGGAATATCCCTCGAGGGTCTCGGGCGCGTAGCGTCTCTTGACGGCGATAGGATCGCTCATCCAGTCCAGCACCATGGTCGCGAGCAGGGCGCTCACGAGAGAGAGGAGGAGGGCGAGGAACCAGAGGGTGTTGTAAGTGACGGCGTGATCGTCTAGGACGAAAGGCTTCGGCGGAGCCACGATGTTCGGCGTCCTCTGCGTTGACGATACGAGTTGAGCGAGCAGAATATTCGTCTGATTGAGCGTAGATATGATTGCTTGAGTGTTCTGGTCGGGTGAGAGGGCCTTGTAACTGTCCACCAAGAATGCCGCAACTGTGGCGGCAAAAAGACCAGCCTGTATGTATGGCGTCAGCGAACGAAAACTCGGTTGCTCTTTGTACACACAAAGGTTAGGAGCGCAGTCATCGCTCTTGCGTTATAATGTGCAAGCTTGTCCTTCTTGACCTTTATGGCCCGCAGAAATACGGGCCAAAAACTACTACCCTCCCCTTGCACATCGGGAGCGAGATAATCATCGGTATCGTCTGGGATCGTGGCGTCCATTAAATCGGGGGTCTCTCTATAGCAAGACACACAATCGCTGGCGTCGAGGATTTGTATCAAGTACGGCGACAGTGAAGAGTCGGGCAGACCTTGCTTCCGCGCCCTTGCCGTGCCCTCGCCGTGCCCCAACTGGCAGTGTTTGCCACGTGTCTACATAGGCTATTTCCGCTCGCCTGCTCTAATCTGGTGGGTAGTCCATTGGTGTAGAGCACTCTTCCGCATATACATAGGCGACGAATGATGGTCCTAGAGACCGATCGAGACGCGACCAAAATGCCACAACTACTCTGGCCACGTTCAACTACGGTAGGGTTAGGGTTGGGTTGGTTGGTCAGCCTGAGACCGAGTTCACCGAAGCGGAGAATCTCTAATTATCACTATCAGGCGGTCATATCGAGCCTTGTAAGATCGTTCGCAACACCACCAGACGCTGTGGGAGTGGTGGATGCTGTCGACTGTTGGTCAACTCAGCGACGTGTCACCTCGCGGCGAATGCCGATGAGCGGATTTTGGGCTTCCAGCCAAGTCGGATACGTAGTATAGCTCGTAGTAAGGATTACGTTCTTTGTGTTAACCAGTATACATCTGATCCCGATCCTGGCAGCCCTTTGAGCGCTTGTCGACGCGAGTCCAGCGACCAGTAATAGACGCGTCGCGCGTACTAAAGGCGGCTTCACCACTTTGCCTTCTCACCGTGTACAGAAAAACCAGCCAACTTACATAGCTCCGATCCTTTGCGAACACAGGTTAGGGTCATACATTCCCGAGAGCCGCTCAAGGAACTAATCCGCGGACCCCGCATGGTCATGCCACGGGCGGCGGGCTTCTCTCGCGCATTGCGATACAATTGCCCCTTCTGCCCTGCTGTCCTCGCAGCATATCTGGTGCCCGCCCAGCCACCCACCGACTCTGTAATACCGTGGAATATACAAGCACGGCTCTTGAAGCTTGACGGTGTTCCATAATATACAGCTATTGCACGATGCCTAGACCAAAATTCAAGAAGCGTTCCCATCTCCACAGCAGCACTAGTGCTAGAAGTCGTCGTATCACCACGCCGCCATCGTCCGCTTACGAATCATGACGATCAGATGACTTCTCAATTAGCTCACGTTCCCGCAGGGAATCTAGACCCGGGTGTGAACGTTGCCGAGCACCCCACAGAGGTATGTATCTCGCTCAGCGATGTGCTATGATCACACGCGTGCGCGTGGGACGGCTTACAGAAGACAGGAGCAGGTCCATGCTATTCCTTCGGTGTGTCGAGAGAGTACAGCCTATAGGAGAAGCAACGTACGCGACGTGTACACGACTTGGCCAATACGCACCCAGCGCCCACATCTATAGCGCGCCTGGGATGGGCCACTTACTACGGCCCAGCATATGGTCCGGCCACGTCCGGCATCTGAGGTGACAACGACAGCGTCAAACAGTTCCTTACAAGGCGAGCGACCCCTGCCCTAGCTATACCAACGAGGTGCAGGGTATCCATCATATTTTTGCTGCATCGCTCGAGCCCTCTCGTCCTAAGTATGACCTCTCCGTTGAGTTGCACAAACGGCGAGGCAAGTCCAACCTGCTCGCCCTGTAAACGAGTCAGGTACATTGGCGCCCCCCCTCCCCCCCGACGGCACATTGCGACGTGATACGGATGGCGCCTTCACAGGTGTAAATTGCCCAGTATTCAAGCACGGCATCGACCAATGCCTGTGCACGAACTGCCCGATGAATAGACGTTAGACGCCTCATTACGCGAATACGATCTGGATCTGGTGAGAATTAGGGTTGGTACTTGGGCATAGACGCTCAGCAAGCTCACCTTTCACCGCTGCTTCGTTTCGTGGGCCGTCGTACTCGTTGGCGAGCTTCAAGTCAAGCCACCGAAAACAAGAAACGCGTGCCATTTCATTGAGAGGAAGAGACTTTCAAGGGATTTAATATACAGGGGACGGAGTACTCTATCTCACGCAGACGCCACAGACGGCGTGCTACCGGGCCCGAGACGGGTACAGCAGTCATGGTTCTTGATGCGCGCATCACAGCCTGCGCATGTAGTCCGTCGTAAGGCCCCGCAAAACGCAGTGCGACTCGCTCTTGAGGGCTTGAGCGAGCCAGGCTCTTCTATGCCTCGCTCGTACATATGATGCGCATCGCGCCTCCGCGTCCGTAGGTCGCACGGCGCACGTCGTGCTGGATAATATGCGCGTCCGCCGCGAGTGTGCGCCGAGCATCCAAGCAGCAAGCGCTCGGTCGGCGTGCAAACCTTAAGCCGTCAGTCAGCGGGGGGAGGACTCGCGGGGCTTCAGAAACGAGGCGGCGTACCGTCTCTTGCACCGCGGTGCTGAAGGTGAGGCAACAGCGGGCGTGGAACACATTGCTTGCGACGAAACGCTTGACCGATGCCGTGGTTCGTGCGCCGTGACCGGAGAAGTTCTCGATGCAGGGCGAGTCTGGATCAGGGCGTCAGCGCTAGGAACGATACGTGCACACACGATACTCACCGTCATGACGACGGCTACTCAGCCTTAGACTACATGATCTCAGGCGCACGTACGACATGCAAGCATCCTCTCGTCGACGGGGTGTAGGCGAACGCGGCCTTCTACACTCCGGGCTGGGCGCATCGCTCTCTTTGATGAACCAAGGCGCTCGTCTGCCCCTGAGATCGCCAGTCGGAGCCGCAACGTCTGGCGGAAGACTGCGGCCTCTCGGTGCCGGGTGAGAGCGCGTATGCGCGCAACGCGGTAATACGAAAGGCATCGGCGAAGGCTGGGAGACGCGTCAGTATTGCTTTCAAAGACGTGTATATAAGCCAT